CTGGGTGCCCATTATAAGCTCTGGCACAGAGATGGCAATGGCCAACAGAATGAACCCGGCTTCTGCATCCTGTGCTCATTGCAGTTTTTCAGAGATGCATTTGTTTTTTCCTCGTATGAGCTGGGGGCACCCAGCTCATATTTTGCTGGTCAGTTGAAGCTGTCACTCAAGCTGTGACTTCCAATAAGTGAAACACACTGGGAGACACCAGCAGGTTTCCCTCTGAGTACCAAGTCCAAAGGGAAGAGCATTAGAATTCGCGACACTGTGTCAACCATATCCAAATAATATTAAAGCCAGGACGGGAGCAAATTAATAAAGCTTTCCTGTGTGAGCTGGCAGCTGGGCATTGTCCTCTGCTCCTGTCTGGGTTTGCACATGATTAACGGCAGGCGCCAGGGAGTTGCATTAGCAGATGATAAGTAAGAATCCCGTTACAATGACATTCTCCCCATCATTAGGATCCTTTTAGTGAGGTGCACTGGGTTGTCAGGGGCATTTCCTGGAGCTGCCTGGTAATGGGTTTACCTGGTAGTCCATCCACCCTGGCAAAGGCCATCGGAGGTGTGGGGCTCCGGGGCTGGGCTGCTGGAAGCACACGGCTCGGCTGCAGCAACTGTGTCACTCCCTGGGCAACTCCTGATGGGCTGTGTGGGAACCACCCTGCAGACCATGCCCTGGCTTTAGTGCCCACCAGCAGCGTCTGTCAAGCACTTGATCTCCGGGCCTGGCTGTGCAGAGATGAAGTGGGGACACTGGTTCTAATGCAGCCCCTGCCACTGGCCACATTGAAGGACCTGGCCTAAGCTATAGTTGCTTAAATTTGATAAATTTTATGAATGTCACACTAGCTTTCTTCACGTTTACCCATCCTTAAAATTCTCAGTCTTCTTTGAATTAAAAAACAATGCATCAATTGTGGCCCATTGTTTTGTGGATAAAGTACCAGCTCCATAACATGATCTACAAAGCCTCGGGCATTTACTTCCACTTGACCCTCCGAACCCAAGTCCCAACATCTGCCAAAGTTTCCTCTTCTGCCCCGCCCTGATCCCTGCCACACTGAAAGCTTATATTCCCTGAAGACGGCCCTGCTCAGCTCTCTGCCAGCTTGGCTGCCTGGCTCCTCGGAGCCCTCCACACTCCCTCAGATGCTGTCCATTCTCGGAAGGCTTTTCCAGGCCATGTCAGGTGCTCCGGAAGGCGATCCCACAGACTCCCTCCCCTGGCCCCCGCCTTTTGCCCCAGCACATACTGCAGAGGATTGTAAACAGTTTATGTGTTTGTTTACCCCATTATCATAGAAACTTCTAGAGAGCAGAGGTTCCTAATTTAGCTGCTGATCCATGGTAGCCAGCAGAGAGCCTGGCACCTAGTTTGTACTCAGAATAAAGAAATAAAGAGGCTTATCAGGCATTAGGACAATGATTTTGCACAATTATTTTGCTTCTGGAGTCCCCACGGTGGGCCAGGAATTTGAACACACACACACACACACACACACACACACACACACACACACACACACACACAAACTAGATTGGCTCGAATCCTTTCTGGCCAAGACCAGAAAGTTCTGTAATAGCTACAGAGGCACCGGTGGTGAATCTAGTAAGATCTTTGAAATAACATTACAAGATCAAAGTTGCACAGTGTGTAAGATCCAGAGAGTAAAAAATGTCAAAATTTTAGAATTTTAAAATGCTTCATAAGGTGGATGAACGAGCTCTTCTTCATCACTAGGAAGTTTTAAAAGATCTTGGGACTTGCTCTCCTCTCTCTTCCTCCCTCATTTCATCTTTCACTTGTTTGGATCTTGACATCCATTCATTGTTATGCAAACATTTATTGGGCAACCCGCCGTGTGCTCAGGGCTATAATAGTGACTGAGAAGTTGGAAAGAGTAAGATACCTCCTGCCCTCCTGGCGCTCCGCGCCAAGTGAGCAGAAAGGCAGGATAAATGGGGAGCGAGGGGTAGTAAGCATTGGGGTGGAGTTCTGCATGGAGCCAGGGGGTGACCCATTATGGCTTCCTGGGGCAGGGTATTATATCAGGTGTGCACGTTCTGGGCATTCAGTGTTTCACATCTAAAAAATTTCTGATAAGGTTCTTTCTACATAGGGAGCTGCATAAGAGAAGAGGGATGTGTGGGCTCATCACAGATACCACTGGATAGCTAAGCATGAGTACAGTTGAGGTTTCCTACGTCCTACCCACTTGACTCTTTCAAACGGAGGACAACTGTCCAGGTGAGCTGAGGCTTCCGATCATCACGAGGCAGCCTTTACATTTTTGTTAATGTTAATTTCTTTGGTAGAAGAATTTTATGGACTGGGTTATGTCCCCTCCAAATTCATATGTGGAAGTCCCAAGCCCCAATGTGACTGTATTTGGATTTAGGGACTTTCAGAGGTAATGGAGGTTAAATGAGGTGATCAGGGTGGGGCCCTAATCCAATAGGGCGGATGCCTCATCAGAAGAGGAAAAGGCATCCAAGCGCTCTGTCTCTACCATGTAAGGACACAGCAAGAAGGCAGCGGTCTGCAAACCAGGACGAGGGCCCTCACTGGGGAACAGAATTGGTCGGCACCTTGATCATGGACTTCTCAGTCTTTAGAACTGTGAGAAATAGTTGTCTGTTGTTGACGCCACCCAGTCCATGGTGTTTGGTTATGGCAGACCTTGCTGACTAAGACAAGGAAGACAGAGCTTGAGGAAAGAGAAGATTTGACAGTTTCCTATGGTTTCAGCCAGACTACAAACATTTTGCATGTCAGTGATAATTCTGATCTCTAAATTAAAATAGTTTACATTTAAAAATGAAAACATTAAAAAATTTTAATTAGCAAGCTCACCGAAGAAGCAGCATAGCATCATGGAAAAGGCAGGTCCTCGCCATGGTTTGCTGTGTGACCTTGCGCAGTTACTGGGCCTTGGTCCCTTGCCTCGTATCATGCCCTGGGTGGGACTGTGGCGGGGATGAGGGTGAGCTCACACCCACAGTGTGCCGTGCAGTAGTTTGGAAGGTGTTCAATGAATCTCAGGTCCCCTTAAATTCGAACTGATTTCAGAATCCCTAGAGTCACCATATCTTCACCTGCAGAACCAGAATTCCTTCCTCACCTAGTTTTAATCCCAAACCCCGTGAATTCATTTGCCTCTATCAGTGCCTCTCAATCTCACTTTAGAAAATGATGCAGGGAATCTATAATGATCTCAGGCAGTATAGCAATGTTCTTATTAAAGCCCTTCACAATGTCGAATTTATTTTAATTCACCTCAATTCATATTACGTATTTAAAAACATCTCAGATAAGCCATATGGCACTTTCAAAGGTAGCTGAGAGGATGCGGGGAAATCAGACAAACAATGTCAAGATTTCATAATTTCTACAAGACCCAGAATTCCTAATTCAGAGGAACCTATACTAATCCAGATGCCATATTTCCCAAACCCCAGGATCCAGCAGGGTGGTGCTGGGGATGGGTTAGGCGATTGTCACTGGGCTCCCTCAAACATCTTTCCCATCAGCTTGGCATCCTTGACCTTGTCACATTGATGTTCCACAAGTGAGAGATTGCCTGAGGTTAATGAATCTTTCTTTTAATGAGCATATGTCTGTACTTCTGTGTGGATGAAAGGGGGGAGCAATCATCTCATCTCAGTGTAAGTGGGTTCCTCCTGGAATGCTTCCCAGTCACACTCTCTGAGAGCAGCCCCACTGGGGACCTGGGGGCTTAAGTAGTACCGGGAGAGGGTGGGGGAAGATGTGAGTAAAAATGAGAGAGAAGAGAAAGGATTATGGAACGTTCAGCCCTAGACAGATGAGGCAGGAAGCATACACAGTGGGTTTTGGAAGCAAAAAAGAACTGAGGTCCCCAGAAGCACTCAGGACACAGTGGGGCAGAAAGAAAGCAAAAGGAGTTGCTGGAGTCCCTGGCAGTAAGGCCATAGAATGAGCATCGTTTCATCTGCTTCATTAAGCAGACCCATTCTACAATCTCCTCCCCTGCGTGCTGGCACTCTCCCTCTTGGTAATGTAAAACCATTTAAACCAGAGGGTAAGGAGGGAGAGGGGTGGTAGATGAGGGTAAAAGGGATCAAATATATGGTGATGGAAAGAGAACTGACTCTGGGTGGTGAGCACACCATGTGATATAGAGATGACGTATTACAGAATTGTACACCTGAAATCTATGTAACTTTGCTAACAATCGTCACCCCAATAAACTTTAATTAAAAAAAAAAACATTTAAAAAAATTCAAGACACTCTCTTCAAATCTATCCAAAGGCCAACTTTAGGCTTGCTGCACAGATGACCTCTTCAGAGGCACAGCCACCAGGGAAGTGAGTGCCACCTCCACAGCCTGTGCTGCAAAGCCCTTGGGAACACACACTTCAAAGCTTCTGATTCAAACGAGATTCTTCCGTTGTCACTGACAAGTATGACACAGTGGTCCTTGTGATCATGAGTCATGAGGCTCTGGAGTGAGTCATAGATTTTGTCACTTCAGAAAAAAACATGCACTACTCACAGGGCCCTGTGTCACTGTTTACTTCAAAGTCCTCAGGTTCCTGTCCTCAACCTGTGTCACCAAAAGCAAGGCTGGATTGTCATCCAAAGGAGATAGTAGAGCATCAGAGGGGGGACACAGAGCATTTATGACATAAAGATGTGCTAACAAGTATCACACACTGAGCCTGGGGATCAAGAGAACAAGCTTCCTGTGAGCTCAACGCAGAGCAAATGGACAGGACGGACAAGTGCAGATCCACTGACCACATGGGGTCCTAGCCAAGAGCATGGCCCTCCCCATCTCTGACAAGTCTTTAAGGCAGCAGTTTCCATCCTGACTTTAAGACGCTGTTTGTCTCCCTGAGCTCATCCTTCCAAAAGTCAGCAAGTGACCAGAACTCTGAGCTGCCCACCCATTGCCATCATCACTGGAGCACACCACCCACCCCTGCAAAGGTGAGATGCCAGGTGAGTGCCATACCTGGTCCAGCTTCCAGTGGAACTCCGCAGGCCGGAAGGTGTCTGCCTGGTCGAAATCTTTCCGCAAGAGGAAGACGAGGCGGCAGTTGTGCACGTACAGGGCGTAGTGGTGCCGGTTCATTTCTGAAAAGCAGAAAGAAGGCTTGAGGGGGTGAGAGAATCCCCAGGTCAGTTTCTGTCACAGGTGTCTTCGCACCACATTACTTGGCACACCTCAAAGGACACTGGCATTCCAGTTTTCCCTTTTATAATTGGTTCTGATGCATGTTCTAGAACATACATGGTGAAGCTCGCTGAAATGGGAGAGGAAGATTCAAGAAAGCCCATGGCAAAACTGCTAAGATGTCATTTGGACTTTAAATCCCAACCTAACCTCTACTTAGAAACTGCATTAGATCCTACATAAAAATTACTTAGATTAACAAGCTTTTTTTTTTTTTTTGGTACAAATACTTCTGGTTGGGTTAAGGGAGCTCTCTGACAATCACATCAGTCACTCTGGGCTCCTTTAACATAGCTGCTTTCTCCCAGAGTGCTGGGCTTTTATTTCATCAGGCTTGAGAGGGGGACACAGAGCACGTCTCCTATGATCTGTGCAGTTAAGGGGAGCTGCCTCACTTTTAATTGCTGGCAGGAGGGGACAGATTGATTTTCCAGCATTAGACATAGTTCTGTGACTTTCCAAACCTCTCTCCCCATACACAGACAATGGAAGAGGCTTTTTCCTTCCCTGATATAAAATTTCCTTTCCTGCTTAGAACATCTCATGTCATGGGTTCCAGTAACCACGATGTCCTGTAGCCACCAGGTAACACCTGTTGGGAGAGGAGGAGAAGTCCTTTGACCAATACTGAGAACCCACATTTACTACAGAGAAGCCCACATAGAAATCTCCCATGAGGCACATGCTCTGTAGATGTGAGGTGAAGGAGCAGGCGACAAGGGTAGTGGGAAGAGCATGGGCCCCGGGTTCAGACAGACTTTGGGTGGAGATGCATCTCTGGGTGATGCTGGTAAGGTTATCTAGCCTCTCAGAGCCTCAGTTTCTTTTACTGTATTGAGACAGGAATGCTGGATTATCCTAATCCACAGGAATAAGATCCTATGCTATCATGAGAATGGGATATTGTGGATGATACTTGTGCATCCTGTACATACCTTGCCCATGCAGCTTGAGTGGGAGGTAACAACACCAACCCCACTTCTAGGGATGGGCTCTGCTAGGTCCTGGCCAGACAGGCTCATGCAAATCCCCCTGCCACAGTGATTGGTTCAGAGCCCAGGCCCAAGGCCAGCAGTGCAGGCCATTCATCTGACCACAGGGCTTCTGTCAGCGATTGGCAAGTGACTCAATATGGGTCGGTGATTCAGGAGTTCTTTTGAGAAGTTCTGGGAAAGAACTACCTCTCTTTTAGCAGAAAGAAAAGAGAAGAGACCTTCTCTTTCTCTCTAGAAGTTGTAGCATCTAACTGGGAGGCTTGGCACCCATGTTTGCTAACATGAAATGGATACACTTATGGTGGCAGAGCTAAGAAATTGCAAGGAAAAGGAGCCAAGGCCTTGATCACATTTTGCCTGAAGCTGTCAGAGCTTCACATTTCCTGTATTATTTTTTTATTATCTGATATAGGTTGGATCTGTATTCCTTGTAACCTGGAGCTTCTTAATGGATACAATGAGAAAATGTGTGTAAAGCATCTGCCTAGAGCAGATGCTCAATGACTATTAGATATCATAAGGACTATTACACTGCTTCGTGACCATGGCAACATAACATAGTGTTAGATGCTGTTTTCACAGGAGCATATTTGTTCTTCAGGATGCAACTAAAGAATAGAAGGAAGGCGAGCAGTTAGTTGGCCAGTGTGGCTGGGTTGACCTGGGCCAGTGCCTGGGTTACCACTCCATCTTTGGAATGGCCAAACACCCAGGCCTGGTTATGGGGATTTTACTAAAAATTTCACAACTGATTTCTTATTGTTTCTTTTGATAAATATTAGGAAAATACAGAAAGAATTTCCCACTTTAGTTTTATTTGGAGTTGGGAGAGGTTGTGGGTGAGGAGGTGAAACAAGAAGAATGAACAAGGTCAAGAGCATCTTCCAGCATAGGTGGTTTCTCCCTCCCTCTCCCTCCATCCGTCTGCATTCCTGGAGGCACCTCTCACACCAGGCTACCTGGCTATTCAATGGGTGGGTGACATGATACCCTCTGGAATCAGATTCATTTCCTTCCTGTCCTTTGGTGTTCTCTGTTGCCGCCAGCTCTGTTGCCTTTTCTGCCTCTGGCACATCCTACAGCCTTCTGGATACTTTCAGATATTAAAATAGTCCTGAAGGGTGCTTTCCAAAATAGTCTTAAAGGGTTCTTTCCAAATCAAACATCAGTGTGTCATCTGGTGAAAAGAACTTCCCCTCTGCTCTGCTCAGTCTTGACCCAAGACTTAGTCGCCAACAGTGGAGAAAGAATGGGGTGAGGTCTGTTCTTTCATTCTTCTTTTTCCATTTCCTCACCCCCTGACCCCCTCCTGGCTCCAATCATAGTCAGAGGCAGGGAAGGTAGGTGAGAAAGAACACTGTGGACAGTCTCTTTAAAGAGCCAGTGGAATTTGTCATTTTTTCAGGGATGTCATATGTCCTGTCATGGCCGGTGCCTATACATGGGTTCCTCCATGGACACATTGATTGGCTTTTGGAGAGGCCCTGCAGGGATCTTCACATGGTACCCTTGGCCACTGAAGTGGGTTTGGGTTCTGGTAAAATAGTTTTTACAAGCCTTTCCTCGCCCCACCACTCCATAAGAATGGACCTATTATAATCTTTACATAGGAATTGATCTGATAAGTGACACTCCCTTTCTGGATGGCTGGGACATTTGTGCCTGCTGCAACCCCACCTTTGCTGGCCCTTACCTCTCCATTCCTGGTGTGAGTGATGCTCTTTCCAGTTGATCTTTCATGATTCCTCTCTGTTTCCTGTCCTCTTTCAGTAACTTTTCCTTCCCCCCACATCTGCTTCTCCTGCCAGGGTTCTATCTTCCTGGCATGCAGCCCTCTTGGCTCTAGCCTTGCCCATCTCTGGATACACATTTGGTCCACAAAATAAGAACAAAAAATACCTGTGTACTGCCAAGTTGTAGTAGGGCTCCCATTCCTCTGCTACCCTTCTCTCCTCACCCCATCATTGAGGCACCCCCATCAGCCTCTTCCTTTCAGACCCCATGGGGAAGAGGCACCAACTTTCATATACCCCAAACTCCTAGGGGTGTGAGTCAAACTTCTCCAGCGCTCCTTATCTCTGCTCTTACACCAGGCTGGAGCATATCAAAGAGTGTTTGCAGCTCAGCCAACAGGCCACTGGGTGTGAGATTCCCACCTCCTCTCTATAGCAGACAACCTCAATCCCTCAGTGGTTTTCTGGGCATCTCTGAAAGTAAGAGAGCATCCCTTCTCTTTCCAAACAGGCAGGGGGACCATCTTAGCATGCTCTACCAGGCTGACACCTCTGTTTCTCTCACCTGATTTCTGGGCCAGGTTGATCCCCTCTCTTGGAAAGCCCTGTAGGGGAGTGGCATGTGTCCACTTATCACTCACTGTTCTTAGTTGAAACTTAGAGATAGCTAGAGGGCTGTATGCTAGGAAGAGGGGATCCTGGTAGGAGGAGCAGATGTGTGTTAGGAGAGGAGTCACTGACAGTGGGCAGGAAAGAGCATTGCTCACACCAGGAATGGAGAGATAAAGGTCAAAGAAAGGTGGGCTCAAAGGGGGTACAACTGCCCTGCACAATATCCTCATGGTGGAGGCATTGTTATGTGTTCACTATCCCTGTTTCCTTTGCTCCTAGACACATAGCCGAACTCAACTCACAGCTTCCTCTGTGGTTAGGTTGGGCCATGTGACCCAATTCTGGCCAATGGAATGTGAGTAGAAGTGAGACATGTCACTTTCTGGTCTAGCCAATAAAAACGTTCTGTGCTCAACTCCATTCTAACTTTCTGTTCTGTGGTTGCAAATGGCAGCACCAGATCATGGAAGGAACCGGGGTCCCTGAATCTCTAGGCAAAGAGGAGCTTTCTCATCCCTTAGCCCCAATTAGGATGGCTGGACGTGGACATGAGGGAAAACCGTGATGAAAGAGTGTGAGCCACTGAGATGTTTTTACATTGTTCGTGGCAAGTGCTCTTCTTTTTTACTTTTTAAAAACTCCAATTGGCCCTTGATGACTAATCAATGCTGTTATCCAACTATTTGTAAATTGCTTCATAATTGGCTCAGCAGCAGTCAGTTTTACTTAGTGCACAAGACAGAAACTAGAATAATCTTCACGAAGGGAGGGAAGTTTGGAAATTTACAGCAACAGCCCTCCTCACATGTATGTTCTTTGACTCAGTAACTCAACTTCTGATCAGAAAATACCAGAAATGTCCATACAGGTAGATACAAGAAGACTCATTATAGCATCGCTTTGTTTGTATTTAAAAGACAATCTAAATGGCTAACACCAGGGAGCCAGCCAAATGAAGCATGATAAAGTCACATGACAGAGTTTTAGACTGCCATGTGATTCATATTTTAAAGACTATTTTAGCACATAGAGGAATGATGTTATATAAAGGAAACATAACAATAGCATCACATGTATTATAAAACTAGATTGAAAATTATAAAGACATAGAAATACAATAAGATTTCATTTGGCAATGAAATATACCAAATGTTATCAGAAACTATCTGCATGTGTTAGGATTTTAGGTGGTTTATGTATTCTCTTCTATACTTTTCTCTGTTTTTCATGTTTCCTGCTATCATCAACATGTGTTGTTTTCATTACTTGAAAAATTTTTTCTGATATGTAAAAGCCTTAATCAAACTTAATTTATTCCTGATATTTTAAAATTGAGGGCAAGGAGGTATTTATAGATTATTTTTCTAAGTCACAGAAATTAGAGAAAAATCTTCCTCATCTTCTTTGTGCCAATCTTGAACTAATTTGTAAAGTGCTGTTTTCTGCTAAGGCCCAAGCTGAGCAGCTCCAGGGCTGGCTGGTTTGAGGGTGCCGAAATGCCTGGTGAGTAGGCGTTCTGATAAACGTGAGGCACCCTTGTCTAATGCAAAGTTTTCAGTCCTGACAGCCCCAAAGAATCCCCCAGAAACTCTGATTTATTGAGCTGGGTGGGGCCTGGGTATTTACATATTTTTACACGTGCATCAGGTTACTCTAGTGTGTAGCAGGGTTGAGAGCCACTGGTCTAATAACATGGGCCTGGAATGCGGGTACCTGAGGACCTACGTCCAAGCCTATTATTCTTGGTAATCGGCTCTGTTATCCTGGGCCAGCTGCTCAACCTTTTCTCTTCCAATTTCCTTCTCCTTAAGCAGCAACATTAATACCTGTCTGACCTGCCTCCCAGGGGCATTTGATCTATTTCAGCAAGGACTGTATGTATGTGGCCATTAACCTCAGTTCATGCTGCTTTGCATTTGTATATATTCTCCTAAGCACTTGTCTCGTTGACGCTGGCTTCTGGATCATCATGGGAGCACCCCACCAGGCACTGCAAGGATCAGGCCACAGGACAATTCCTGGGATTGTGGGCTGAGTGCTGAACCTGGTCCCAAACCTCAGTGCCCTCTCATGCAGGTGGGCAGGGTCCTTCCATGAAGGTCTCAGAGAAAGTGATCCCTGGCCCTGGCTCGGACACAGACGTGCCATGCCACTAGAGAAAGCTGGGCAACTCTCTCTGTCTCAAGTGTCTGTATCCAAAAATACATGAACATTTATTGTAAAGGATTGGCTGAGACAGGGAAAAAATGTGGGCTTCTGGCAGCAGCACCGTGCGGACTAGAACCAGAGGTAATAATGAGAATGATAAAAACATCAGATAAATTAATGGAACACTGATTATATACCTGGTGCTGCTAAGTGAATTTTATACACGATTTCATGTTTATTTTCCCCATTTTGCATATGGGGGAGAAACAGGCTCAGGGAGATTAGCAACTCCTCAAAGGTCACACCTTGAGTTGTCACAAAGCTGAGACATGGACTTGGTTCTCTAACAGCAGAGGCTGGGCTGTCAGCCATTCTTCTCCACTGTCTTCTCACTGCAACACCTGCTGTGGTTATTTATTTGGGTAATTTAACAAAAGTAGCATCTGCAATGGGAAACTGTGGAATTATAATTTAAGATGCAGTTGTAAAATTTGCATAACATATCATTGTGTGTGTGTGTGTGTGTGTGTGTGTGTGAAGGGGGGGAATGGGGGTAGTGACAGAGCGTAGCATTGGAGTTAACTGGCTCTACGCTCACATTCCTGATCTGATACTGGCTGTATACCTTGAAACAAGTTATTTAACCCATCAGGGATGTTTCCTTATCTTTTAAATGGGAAACACAATAATGATTTTATAAAATTGTTTGTTGAGATGTGAGACACTGTTTAGAATAGTGATAGCTAACATGGATTGCACATCCTATGTGCCAGGTACAGTTCTAAAGCACTGTGTATACATTAAGTCATTTAACCCTCATAAGGAAGGGTTTCTGGTCAGGATGGCAGAGTAGGTAAATACTGCTCACCTCCTCTCACAACCACATCAAAATCACAACTAAACTACTGAACAACAATCTTTGAGAATCGCCTGAAGTCCACCTGAATGAAGTCCTATAACTAAGGACATACTGAAGAAGCCACCTCGAGACTGGTAGGAGGGGAAGAGACACAGAAGGGGCTGGTCCCACACCCACGTGTGACCATTACAAATCGGGAGGGATACCTTTGCTGTGAAGGTCACCCCTCAGAGGAGAAAGGGGTCCCAGCCCAGGGTTCCAGTGCCGGGAAGAGAAGTCTCCATAACTTCTAGCTGTGAAAACCAGTGTAGACTGTGGCTGAGTGAGACAAGGGCAGCTGCAATCCCAGGTGCTCCTCTTAAAGGGCCTGCACATGGACTTACTCACTGCTGGAGTCACTTGCTCTGAGCTCGAGCCCTGGGGCAGCAGCAAGAAAGATGCCAGGGATGTATGGGGAGGAATTGAATAGTCTGGCTTTAGGATGAGGGCTGGAGGGACAGCTTTCTCCCAGAGAGAAGGAATATAGTCAATAATATTGTAATAACTGTATGGTGTCAGATGGGTACAGATTTATTGGGGCAATTACTTCATAAGTTATATAAATGTCTAATCACTATGTTGTACACCTGAAACTAATATAATATTGTACATCCACTGAATTTAAAAATTTATTTAAAAAATGTAAAAAGAAACCCTCATAAAAACCCTATGAGTAGATAACACTATAATGCCCATTTTATAGATGGGGAAAGTGAGGCACAGAAGGGTTAAATAACTTGCCCAAGGTCACACAGCCAATAAGTGGTGCAGTGCTTTTAACCACCAAGCTGTGAACTGCTTTGCACAGCAGCTTGCTGAAAATGCCCAACACATGTTAGCAATTATTACAGTATGGCAATGATATTCAAACTAGTAGGGCCCTTTCACTGAAAATAAACTTTTGGAAGTCTCATTATATATAATATAGTGAAAGTGGAGCTGCTTTGCTTTAAGTAAGGATGCACCTCCACCCCTGTCTCATGTATAGCAGCCCTAAGTTACTTCTGGGGAGTCTGGGGTTCTGAAGAACTCAGTTTTAAACCACCAATCCCAGTTTTTGCATTTTTTGTATCTGTATATCTACTTTCCCCCCTTTCCCAGTTCTGCTCTACCCCGAGCCCAGGAATCATCAGGCAGAAAATCAGAGCCCAGAATCTTTTCCCAGGGCCACTCGCATACTCCTACTTTTCTCCCTTGTCCTCAGTGGCTGTGTCCCTGTCTAACCAGCTGGGACCTCCTGTGCAGACCCTGGGTGGGCTGGGCTCGAGACTCACCAGTTTTATCTGAATTGCAGAGGATGGTTTCTTTCTCAGCTCTCACGCCAGGGCTGGGGCCATGTTTCATCCACATGGTGATGGTGAACTGGTCCGTCAAGTTCTTGGGCACAATCCCATCAGGGATCTTGGCACCCTGCCTGCCATCAAACTTGAAGATCATCTCGCTGCTGTCCACCAGCAGTCCTGCAGTCCAGTTTGTAGCAGCGCTGGGAGATGGCAAGAGGTCGATGATGCCAGAGGAGGCTCCTGCAGGGGTTGGGGGACAGAAAGAGCAAAGGGTCATTCCTCATGGGGTGGGTGTCCTCACCTTCTGTTTTCTGCTGCTGGGTCAAGATGAACAATAATTGACCCTTGAACAACATGGATTTGACCTATGCTGGTCCACTTTTATGTGCATGTTTTTCAATAAATACTGTAAATGTATTTTCTCTTCCTTACGATTTTCTTAATAACGTTTTCTTTTCTCTACCTTACTTTATTATAAGAATATGGTATATGCCGTATTTTCCCATGTATAAGACACACCCTTTTTTGAAAAATTTGGTCTAAAAACTGGGTGAGCCTTATACAGTGACTGTAGATTTTTTGACAGTGACAAGGAGTTGTATGAATTTTATGATGAATAAAACTTGAGTTCAATAACTTTATGTAATGCATTTTTTTTTCAAATTTCAGGCCCCCAAATTAAGGTGCGTCTTAAACATGGGAGTGTCTTGGGGAAATACGGTAACACATAAAACATACAAAACATGTGTTAACTGACTATTTATGTTATTGGTAAGGCTTCCTGTCAACAGTAGGCTACTAGTAGTTAAGTTTTTGGGGAGACAAAATTTATATTTGGATTTTTGACTGCGTGGGTGGTCAGCACCCCTAATCCCACATTGTTCAAGGGTCAGCTGCTATACTCAGTGTACTTATTCAGAGTCTGTGCCCAGCCCTGAGCTAGGTCATTCTGAAAAGGAAGGGCCCAATGCCACCCCTGCTCCTTAAATATTTATGGTCTGCTTGGGGAGGCATCAGTGACTTACAGAGAGAGGTGTCACAAGTGGCCAGACAGAGTGCAATTAATAGTTATGCAAGGAAAAAGTGCTGCAGGAATTTAGGGGAATGGGATTCTCCCAGGGTCTTTTATAAGCAGGCCAGGTTCCTGCAGAAGGCCAGGCTTTGATTGGGGTCAATGGATTCATTCATGCACTCACCGAACCATCAACCTGTCAGCCGTTTAGGGAGCACTGACAAGGCACCAAGACCCCTGGTAGGTGCTGGTGATGTAAAGGGAAATCGGCACAGTCCCTGACCTAGAGGAGCTCAGGACTAACAAGTTGACAGACAACTGTGGCACAGTGTGATCAGGGCTATGATTGGGGAAAGTTCTAGGTGTCTAATCCCATGAGGAGTAGGAGCCACTTTGTACTCACCACACTTTTTTTTTTTTTAAACAACCATTTATTTAGGCTCAATAGTACAGTGGTTGAGCTCTGAAGTCAGCAAAACTTGAATTTGATGCCTGGCAGCATGATTTGTAACCCTGTGACTGTGAGCAAGTCACTTAACCTTTCTATAGTATCTCCCTTGCCCAAGGTGTTGGGAGGACCGAATGAGAAATTGCATCAGAGCTTGCAGCAGCATGCTCGCCTAAAGGTGAATGCTCACGGCATGTTGGCTATAACTTTATCATTATTATTATAATTATTGTTATTTCTGCTACCATTATGATTCCAGCCTGAAACAGTGGGAATATCATGGGCATATTTGTGTCTTAGGAGAATCACACCCACGGTTTTGAGGAGAGTGGAGCTGAGGTGAGTGAGAGGACCTGGCCCCATCAGAGAAGACTGGATGCCCCGGTCAGGAGAATCCTTGGGTCTCCACTGACTTCCCACTGAAGCTCAAATGCTGCCAGCAGAGTTCTCTGCATCCTTACGTTCCCCATAAGAGAAAGGCTCAGCTACTCAGGGAAGGAGGGGGGCTGGGGGCTTCCTGATACTGCTGGGGAATAAGAACCAGGGAGTCTAAAGTTTGTCCGGCGCTGGGGGCCACAGGTGTGGGCATTCTCTCCTGGAGTGGCACTGACCAGTCCGCTGTAAACTCTGACAGGTGAAATGGACAGTGACTAGGTGTATTAACTGCCATTTCTCAGGGATCATTGGACTTCTGAGTTCTGCATATCAGAGCTTCATCTCACCTGGGGATTGGGTTCCAAAGTCAGCCACCACAAACATCTCCTACAGGTAAAATGACCCTTGAAAACCCCTCAGGAAAGTGCCGTATTGGAAGCCAACGTACCCAACCAGTTTTCCCTCCAGCTTTGGAACAGATCACGGGGTCTAGGGTTGAGCACCCACTGACTTTCAATTGAAGGTTATGCTATGTGAAACCTATGCTCTGTTAGCTCTGAGGGGGCTCTCCCTGGAGAGGCCTCCAGGAACTGCAGGGTCTGAGAGGGTGGGAGAATTCAGTCTCCCAGTGCACGATCACCTTGCAGCTTCTACTTATCAAGGGCAACTGTGGGCAGCACTAACTGCATGATTTACATGCGTATTTCTAAGACTTTTGGGTTGGTGCCATGTCTGACACACAGTAGACACCCCATTAATGTGTAAAACTGCCTTTCCTCCTTCCAGAGTCTTCATGAGATGCTTCTGGGCATCTACCCAATGCTCCTTGGGCCTGCCCACCCAGCCTCTCGTCCATGCCCTGCACCTCCCACCCGCATCTACTTGTTCGCATTTCATGCCCTTACAGCCTCGTTTGGTATCTATTTTACTTATCTGGTAAGTTAACCCACACTAATGTTTTAATGACTAACAAAGCCTTAGGTGTTATCATCCTCCATAGATATTTGAACAAAAGAAATCTACCAAGGTGGCAGCAGGTAGAGATTTGGGGGTGGTTTGGAAGTGGGGGATACCGGGTCCTTTGGAACAAGTTCATTTTCTTAGAACCCCCAGGATAATGCAACATGGCAATAGCTTCTCTGATCCACAATTAAGTTGGTTCTGACACCAGGATTTGTCCAGCATGAAAACAGCCTGATAACTGGGCCACACACAGAGTGTATGTTGGTTCCTGAGACTTCAGGTGACTAGAGAGATGCAGGCTGAGCACTCAGGGCTCCTGACTTCTGGCTGAAGCCAGTGCAGCCACGGATATCTAGCAGGGTCCAGTGCAGAGGCGAGCAGAATGGCCTCCACACTGTGGAACCAGGGCTCCAAACCCCACAACTCCAGGTTTCTTTTTGGCTAAGGACCTTGCCATTGTTAAAAAGCAAATATCTCTGTAGAATTCACACTGCAGATAACACCATAGACAAGTGAAGGGGCTGCTTGCAATTTTCCCCCAAACAGGTTTGGATAGAAGGAGAGAGGTGTAATGTAAGTACAAGTATGGGGTGATGGGGGAGGAGACATAAACAGACTGGGAGGCAAAATTGGTGGCATTTGCCCAAGGCGAGCCTCGGTCATATATCCTATATGTATAGAACTTTATTTTTCACAGTTGCAGGACTTTATTTTCATTTTCCTAGGATGATAATAGGAAATTATTATAATCCAAACTTGAATTAAGTATTTCAATGCTTTTTCTTACTTACTCAGCTATGTGGTGCATACTATTATGATTCCAGTTTGCAGATAAGAAACCTGAGGCCCAGTGACTCCTGTTATTAGGACTTTCCAGCTCTTTCCTCTCCCCTGAGACCTCCCCGCTGCACCATCTCAATGAACTTGGAGGGAGATCTTGTAGTCTCCTGCACATTTTACAAATATGGAAACTGAGACGCAGGCAGTGGAAATGACTTGACCAATATCACACAGCCACACAGCTAGCTACGGATAGGTCCAGCTCTCAGACATAGCTAATGTTCTTACTGCAACACAGTAGAGCCTCCTGCCAAGCACAGCCCTGTTCCCCGGGACCCACCTGCCTACACAGGTGGCTGTCCACAGAAAGACACGTTGAAGACAGCAAGTGTCCTGGCAAGGCCATTGATATCTTCTCTGGGGAGGGGAGCTGCAGGCCACGCTGCCTAATCTACAGGTGTTGCCTACGGGAAAGCATCTCGCTGCAATTAACCAGATGGTGCAGATTGCCACTAACTTAACAGCTTGTATTTCAGTTCTTGGTGCACTTAAACAAACAGAGAGGTTAGCTTTCTCCAAAAGCTCTTCTCTCTTTCCTCTCCCCAGCGGATTCCACAGAGAGCAGTGAACGCATCACTTGCAAGGATGGCATGGCATCGTCTGCACATCAGGGTGTATTTAACAGGCTCCTTGGGACTCCTCCATGAAGATCCCAGGCTTCTGAGAGGTCACACTAGTCTGGGGCACAGCAGCTGCAGCCTGAGCGTGGGGGGCTGGGAATCAGAGGTGAGGTCTGATTCAAGGTCCCTGAGCCCTCCCAGGGTGGGGAAGCCTGTCTGAGCCAGCATGTAGATAAAGACGGGGGTGAATGGAGCAGATTTCAGGGCACACTGTGGTGTGAGAACCCAAATGAGCCTGAGGCAGTGGTTCCTGCCTGGACTTCTTCATTGTAGGGTTTGCATTCTGCTCTGGATGGTCTTGGTACAGGCAGAGTGTCCTTAGCATTTCAAGGTAGGCCTGTGGCAATGGTGAGTGACATGCCTCCTCATGGTCCACCATGGCACGGAAAGAGATGGGGAGAAGCAAGAGGGTCTCAGGGGAGAGGAAGCACTGTAATCAAGGACAGCGGCCTCATTCTATAGAGTATTCGCACAATCGGCAATATCAACTCCATATTATTTTAATAAATGTTTATGTAATGTCTCAGTTATGCTAGGCACTGTGGTGAGAATGCAGCAATGAACCACACAGAAATGGGTCCTACCTTTAGGGGCCCAATAGAAAGCCCTTTATTTTTGGTGGGTGGAGCTGTTCAGTGGTGGCGAGTCTCAAGGGAAGCAGGGAGGCTCTCTTGACAAACACCCTACCAGGACTGCGTGGTAGTAGAGCGCATTCTGTTCTCAATTCTGTTCTCTGACTCACTAATATCACTTGGCCATGTGACTTGCTCTGACCAATGAAATGCGAGTGCAAGTGATGTGTTTCATATCAGGGCAGAAGCTTTAAGAGAGCTAGCCCACGGTTTACCATGGGTCTATTCCACGTGACACGAGATCAACAGTGTTCTAGATAAGGGCTGTTCCTTTAGCCTGGATCCCAGGGGGAAGCCAACCTGAAACAGAGCCACAGTCAGCCCAAGAAGAACATGTGATAGGAGTGATA